AAAATTGGTTTCATTATATTCTTTTTAAATTTGAAGCTTCGCTACATTCCTAAGCTTACTTATGTATATAAAGTATTAGTAAAATTTTTAAAGGGGATGCTTACATTCTATCTACTTACCATCTAATGTAAATTATTTAACATGTGTTAATTTCTTGGTTGAATGCAAAGTTTCTTACACCATAGGACTAGATTAGTTTATTAGAGCTATCATATTTTTATCACTATGAATCTACTGATGCATGATTGTTGATAGTTTCTACGAAACACACTTCTATAAGTTATATAAAGTGATATTTAAACCTTACTGTTACTTGAGGATAAGTAACCTTTAGATAGGAATGTTATTATCTCTTTATTATTTGCATATTTTTATGGATGAGAATGTACTTTAATGAAAGATATTTTGATTTTTTTATTGCAGGTATAACAAGTATTGGAAATAAGAAAATATGAAGGAGACCTAAAGCAAAAGGAGCACTGATGCGGGCAGATTTAGTGTGTTATTTTTGCAAATATTTTTCAATATTACAAAACACACACGACAGATACAATAGTAAATATGCAATTTAGTCCCAACAAAAATAACTTTAGTGAAAATAGTTTTATCTTTTAAAAATCTTTAAACTATCATATCCCCTAAAAATAACACAAGTATATATATCGCTCAAGTAATAAAGGGCTCTAATGGAGTCCTACATATCGATCCCTATCCCATAGGGAAGTTGGAAATGTCTATCGGTAAATTCTTATGATTATAATTTAAATCACAATTTAAACTACAATACTGAAGTACGAAATTCAAATCTAGAGTAATTGAGTGAATGCTAAATAAAAATGTTGTTAAAAAGAACTAAGTTAATTAAACTAATTACTAAACTTTCAAAAGTAAACTTACAAAAACTAAACAAACTTTTTGTGATGAAGAGTTCAAATTTAAGAAAGCATCATTCCCCTTTACAATGAGTATATGGATTGTGAAGAAATGAAAAACATTTGAATACATATATATATATATATATATATATATATATATATA